ATATATATATATATATATATATATGGTTCTATAATTAACAGTCAAGTATTTATGAAATCAATAACCACTTCCGGTTTAAAGTTTCAAAATTATCTTTTCGTGTTCTAAATGTGGGTGTTACAGCTAAAGTTTAGAACGCTACATAAAGGAGAACAGCAACATCTGATCAAGTAAAACCATTTTAACTCTTGTGTGTGTTAAAATAAAGGTATGTTCCGGATTGTTTAATTCCCTCAGTATATTTTACGATTGTCGCTTTTATTCTGAACATGTTATTTCCGGTCGTGTTGTTGAGTTTCCGTTTAGCTTATCACTAACAGAGAGCTACATTAACTGAAGTCGTACGAAGAGAAACACAGAAAAACATTACCTGGCAGCGTTTAAACTGTACACAGCACGTAGCTCCATGTTTTATTTCGCTCCCCGTTCGTAAAACCGAAGATTTATAAACTGATATTTTCAGTAAATGTGACAGTCTGCTGTATGCGAACAGGGCCATGTTTAGCTGTTTAGATGCCCCTCAAGTCGAGGCATGTTTGCGTCATAGTTGCGCAAAATGCGCATGCTCGTGGCGGGTGGGAGATTTGTCTATCCATCGTTAGCCCGTGAGAACTAAGCGCTTTCTAAAATTTAATATGAAACATTTAAAACTGTACGTCAAAAAGAAAGAAACTCGTGTATCAACAACACAGGTTTTAAAAATTATATTTTATTCTTCACTTTTTCCCCCCTATTTTGATCCTGAGTGGTGAAAGGTGCTGAAAAGTCAATTTAAGGACGACACTACAAGTAAATAGACGGGGAGGGGGAGCAAGTAGGTAAGGACGGTATGCGAAAATAGTGCGCAGTCCTGAACATGTCTGAACAGTTTCAGTTAACGTTGACACGGAAGTGGGTTAAATGGGTCATGTGTTTTCTTCTCATTCATTAACTTTATAACAATAAAAACATATAAGGCACCATTAGTTATCCAAGCATCTAAATATATACGGTTGAGCATTGCAACAGACGAAAAAGAGAGATAAAAAAAAAACAAAAACGAGAAATAACAAAAGAAAGAAAGAAAGAAAAACAGGGGCAATGTAGAATCCAAGAACCTATGCATAGTGTGAACAGAAAGGGAAATCATGATCCACATCTTATATAGGGAGGAGGCGTCCTTTTAACATGAATTGAACTTACTGAAAAGTGTTAAAAGTTTATGGGCTTTGTTTCATTTACA